AGTTTTCTGCCTCTGCAGTACAGGAAGACATGTGGGACTGGAGAAGGTATTAAGTCAGGTCATTACTGTTGGTGAGCTTTGGCTGCACTTTTATGAAACATGCCAAGGTCTGATCCTGGATTGTGTAGGGGCCCGTGGGATGATCTGACTGATGTGTGCAGTGTGCAGTCATATATCGAGAAGATCCTGGAGGTCAGGGGAATAACACCAACGCCTGCTGCAGGCATGATTCTTCTTCTTCTTTTTTTTTTTTTTAATTTTGTATTGTGTAACAGTGTGTTTTTTTCAGGACCCATCAGCTCCAAGTAAAGTTGTTGTCCTTCAATCTAGTTGTGGAGGGTGCAGCTCAGCTCCAAGTCCAGTCTCCATTTTCAACCTAGTTGTAGGGGGTGCAGCCCACCATCCCATGTGGGAATCAAACCAGCAACCTTGTTAAGAGCACGCGCTCTAGCCAACTGAGCCATCCGGCTGCCCACCGGCAGCTCAGCTCAAGTCGTTGTCTTCAATCTAGTTGTGGAGGGCGCAGCTCACTGGCTCATGTGGGAATTGAACCAGCAACCTTGTTGTTCATAGTTCACACTATAACCAACTGAGCCACCCTGCCACCCTGGCATGATTCTTCTTTTTTTTTTTTTAGCTGAGCCATCCTGCCACCTGTTGGCAGCTCAGCGGCTGCTCACACTCTTGAGCAAGCTCTTAACCAACTGAGCCACTCAACTGGCCCGGCACGATTCTTCTTATGAAGAGACTTTGCTGCCTGGCACCACAGCCTAGCTGTAGTGGACATCTGTCATATTCATGGCTGTCCAACAAATTTTGAGTAGCTTTTTCCACATTTGGGGATGTAATGAGTCCCACCCACCTCCCCAATATTAATGTCAAAATTCAAATTTCCAGACTCCTTTGCAGCTAGGATTTGGCATGTGATCTGGGCTCTGACAATCTGATGCCCACACTTGAGGTTGATCCAGAAATGGGGAGCATGAAGTAGACAGTGCAGTTTATGGAGATTCCATTTTTGCTGACAGGGATGGCAGCAGAAGCCTCAGCTTTCAGAGGTGGTAGTGAGGTCTGGTTCCCAACTTGGAAGTGGCAGTGGTGGTGGCAAGAGAAGCTCAGTAAAGCTGGGTTCCTGAGATCTCGTACTCCATAGCAGCAGCCATACTAACACCAGTTTCCTCCCTGGTTCGACATCACAGTTTGGCGCATCATTGCTGGAATCTACCTCAATTCTATTTCTCAGCCCTCCAAAGGATTATTTATCTTTCAGGGTAAAATCTCCCATCTGCCCCAACCAGCCAGGGTGCATGTGTTGTCAGTCACCAAGAACCCACCTGATGTGCTGGGTGAGCCAGGAACCCCTGACTCTGAAACTCCTACCTCTCCACCATGCTGCAGTGTGAGCCATTCCTGCAGCAGAGAGTGTCTACCTAGACCTTATTCCTCCAATTCCTTCTTGAGTCAGGCGTAGAGAGAGATGGAAGTGCCCTTCTCTCTGACTGCCACCATTCCAGGAGCTCCTACAGAACACGAATGCTTTTCTTCACTGAATTTTTATCACCAATACATTCTGCAGGGCAGATATTCAGCAAATGTTTGATGAATGAATGAATGAATGAATGAATGGTCAAGTACACTATAAAGTTATGCCTAGCTGAATCCATAATTCAGACCTGCACTGTCTGTTACAGTACCCACTAACCCCACTTGAAATATGGCTAGTGTGACTGAGGAACTGAATTTTATTTTATTACAATTGATTCACATTTTAAAATTTATATCTAATTTTACTTTTGGAAAACTTTTAGCTTGTTTAACTTGTGTATGTATAATAAGTATACTTTTTTTATGAAAGTATGTAAATGTTATGAAAGCTAAACAGATCAAATGTTTCCAGTGAAAATTTAGCACATTTTTTATACAAATTGAGACGTGCTGTAATGGTAAAAAGACACACCAAAATCCCAAACACTTTATGAACAAAAGAATGTAAAATGTGCCGTGAATATTTTTATATTGTTTACATGTGGAAATTATAATATTCTGGATATGTTAGGTTAAACAATATATATTAAAACTGACTTCACCCCAAAATAAATTTAAAAAATAATAACCAAAAAACAGAAAATGAAAAAAAAAAAAGACTGACTTCACATTTTTCTTTTTACATTTTTTGATGTGGCTACTAGAAAATACAGAATTAAATATGCAGCTTTCTTTGTAGTTCTGTTGGACAGCATGGATCTGAACACGGGCATGAATGTCACTCAGCAGGCAGACGGGGTGCTGACGACACAGGTTACCTCTGAACACTGGAGCCTCTAATTCTATAGACAAAGTCCCGATCTCTCCTGCTTATTCCCCTCCCAGCTCTAAACCCAACAGGAGGTTTAGGCATGAGCCTCTACAACATGTGTAAGAACAGAAGTCGTAAATTTGGAGTTTTTGAGGACCAGGCAGATTACCTACCAGGGAAAGGGATGGAGGTAAGGCCACCAGCAGTGGCCAAATGCTCTATTTAAAGGCAATACATGAAGAAAAAAATTCCCAAGCGAATTCCCTCCGGGTCACCAGTGTGCCATCTCTGCCCAGCCCATAGAATAAGAAGGCCCTTGGAGAGCCTGGAGTACGGTCGCTTCGTTCCAAAGTTGAAGACACTGAAGCCAGAGAACTGAGAGCTGTGCTAACGAGCCCTAGAGTCAGGGCTGAGCATTGTCTCCTAACGCGCCCAGAACACGCCATCTCTTGGCTTTAGGTACGTGCCAGTTGGGCTTGATTTGAGAAAGGCAGGATCCACCCAATGGAGATCAGGTGGCCTGCCACCTACCCCAAGATTTCCAAGCCTCCCTTTCCCGGCACTGAGAGCCCATTCTGAGGAATTACAGCAGAGAACCAGAGGCATTCGTCCCATCACAGAAACCCTCGTGGCTTCTAGTCACAGTTCCAGGGGATGTAAAACTCTTTAAATGATTTGTTCCAGGGTGGGGAGGAACACAAAATAAAGATGCCCTTGGCTGGCTGGAAATCAAGGAAGAGAATGTAGGAGGAAAAGGGAAAACCATGGAACTCCAGGAGAGAAAGATGCCTTTAGCAGACCAATCCTGAGCCAAGTGAGACAAAGGCACCAACCTAGAGTGGCTGGCAGCCCCTAGTGGGGTGGGAGGACTAACAAGAATGGTAGGAGAGGATGGATGGGGCTAGAGGAAGACGGAGAAGGTGGAAGGGCCCCACTGGCTCCTAACAGAAAGAGAAGCGAACCTTCCTGATTTGGTACCGGGGCTATGCTGGACCTAGACAATTTTCATACTGGAAGCACAATCTATAAAATGCTTCCTCCAACCTGTCCCCATTGGTACAATTTTACCAAATAAAACCATATCCACAACCAAATTTATCAATCCTGACAAAATACGGTTAGTAACAAAGAAAGACAATTTTCACATTTTATTATACAACATTGTTCATCATTGAAAAAAGCTTAACAGTTTTTAATTAAAAACAGAAGCAATTGTTCAGTGTTGCTAGAGAAATTGTTCGCCTGCCCTTGAAAAAATTAACACCTGTTTGCAAACAAAAGATTGCTAGAGTTGCGTCAAACCATTTGTTCTCTTTTCAGAACCCAGGTATTAATCTCTTTTCTATACAGTGTCTAACACATAGTTGGTGCTGAATAAATATTTGTTGACTGAATGGGATGTTCTTTAATCCCTATCCTTTATTTTCTTACTCTAAACAGGATCTTGACTCATGGGGTAAAGTCCCCGTCCACCCATTCCTAAGGTAGTCTAGTGTCTTTCAATAGCCTTTGATTCATAACATTGGTATAGATAGAAACACTTGCCTGAGGGGAATGACTGAGGGTTTCAGAGAAAGAAAGAAACACACAAACGCAGGCACAATAATGAGGTAGAGATAAAAAGATGCTAAGACATAGAGTAACAGATAGACTCAGGGATGGGTGGACTGCAGGAGATAGAGACAGCAAAATGAAGTCTGGGAAACTTAAAACTTACACGGTTTGAGATAAAGAGATAAAAAGGTTGGGCAAGAATGATAATCTTAAAGTTTCTTTCCAGTTTTGATGTTTTACAACAGACATTATGGCAGAGAAAGGAAGACAAGGCAAGGACGGGAGGATAAAAAGACAAAGGAAGGCAAAGGAGACAGATAGGTGGATAGCCAGCCAGGTACAACTGCCATCTTTAGATGTGGTCTTGAACGCTTATGCCACCCTGCCCTCACACACACAGGGCCTGGCTCCTTATTGCCTCAGCATTCCATGCTCACTCTCGGCTCCTACTGTCAGTTCAGTCACCATCTTCCCCTACCCCCACCTAAAGATCTCTGAACCACTCTTTGCATGCCCAATCCTCTCTCCAACAAACTCCAAGAAGCTTTCTTACTGCTCCAGCCCATACTCAGCTCCCTCCCTTCTCAACTCCTAAAGTAGTACCATCATACCACACCCATATCCCCTAATCACAAGGTACTAAGTGTTGTTTTAGAGTTTGCCCTCAGCTCATATGAGCACATCTTGACTCCCACAAGTTAACTGTGGGCTTGTCAAGGCTCCAATAATTTCTCTCATATAGCCCAGGATTCCAGTGCTGGGTATCACTAAGTGCTCAGTGACTACTTGTGGACTGACCAGTCCCCAGGGGGTGCCAACAGAGAAACTTAACAGTCCACTGGTCTGTTAAATAGCTTTCCAGAGGCTGGTCAGTTGGGGCCATCTCCCGGGCTCCTGCGCCCCCTGCTGTCCAGGAGGGGATCTGCACGCAGAACCAAGCGAGTCGTAAGGGTGGTCCTGACACGGGGAGGGTGGCAGTGGCACTCCAGCCTCACGATGGCCCCAGGCACCGTCCGAGGGTTCTGATGAGGTTGGTGGGCACAGCCAGGAGCAGCTCCTATGTTCTTCCTACGTGTCCAGACCACCCCACGGCCTCCACGTGCCCGGAGTGCCGCCAACTGCCCCACCCCGCCCCACCCTACCGGGGTGCTCAGAGCTTCTCATCCAGCTCCAGCTCCATCTCCGAGCCCTGGTTCTCCCAGGCGCCCCCGCTTGGTACCGGGGCTAGGCTGCCGCTGTGTGTCCCGCTCAGGTAGCTCTGGATGACAGAGGCACAGTCCAGCCGCTCCATGAGGGTCATGAGAGAGTGCAGCTCCTGCAGGCTGCCGTTCTGTTCCTCAAACAGCTCCAGGATGGCGGCTGCCGGGCTGCGCTGGCAGGACATGAATCTGGCCAGGAGCGGGGTGGGAGGAGAGAAGAGGGAGGGGCACTGCAGTGAGATCCACCCCCTCCCCCAAGCTCTAGTCCTCACCCTGCTGCTGCCTGCCTTCCCCGGGTACTCAGGGGAATGGGAGGGGCCAGGACTGAACTGAGATTGCACTGGCTCAAAGACAACGCTTCTCTAAGCCTCAGTTTCCTCGTCTTAAACCGAGGGCTTGGATAAGAGGACCTCTAAGGTTGCTTCTAGCTCTGAGGTCCTGTAATTGTCTCCCCAACCCCAAACGCACTCTCCCCTTCTCCTTCCTCACTCTCAGGCCACAACAACCTGCCCGCCGCTGGGGAAACAGTAGTTCTAAACCAGGCTTTTACCAAGACCCTCCCCTACGCGGAAACCTCCCAGTCTCTTTTATCTACTAACCAAACCCACACCCCTGACTTTCCGGCGCGTCCTCTACTTGGCGTAGCCCTGTTCTTTCTAACCTTTTCTACCTGCTCTCACCCTGAACCTTCCTTTTTCAGGTCTGTCCCTTTCCCACTTTTCATACACCCCACCCACAACCACCTCTGCTACTCCCCCAAACAGAACGGCTGATCCCCCTTTCCCACCTCCCTGCCGCCCTTTCTAATTCCCACCTCTCCAGAAAAGACCACGCTGTACCCCTCAGCTCAAACTTCTGATCAGAAGTCTTTATTATTCTCGCTTTAATTATTTCGTGTCTCTGTTTTCAACCTGGAATGCAATACTGGACACGTACAAGGCACAAGGAACGTTTGCCTTTATTTTGTTAAGCTCTCTGTATCCCTTACTATAGAGTCTGACCCTTACTATAGAGTCTGAGCTCCTGAGGGCTGGGACCATTCAACTTGTATCCCAAAGCTTAGCATCATTTTCCAGGACATAGTAGGTACTGGATAAATGTTTAATAAATGAATCATTCAAAAATCCACCCTGTTTTCAGCTGGGCCCAGCACTAATTCCATCTCCTGGGTGAAGTCTCCCCTGACTACTGCATTCATAGCCTGGGTTTCGGGCTTAGCTCAGAATTATTCTCCTGCTGATTTCCCTTGACACAGGCCATGGCTGCACTGCCCTCAGTATTGCTAACATTTACTGAATTAACATGTGCCAGGTGCTCAGCTACATACTTTACACACCTTATCTTATAGTCTGTCATTCTAGCCCTCAGGGCACAGCATGTCAAGCACTCAATATGTACCGAATGACTTACATGTTAACTGACTCATTTTTAAGTATTTGCTGAGCACCTACTAGGAGCCAGGCATCATTCCAGGTACTGAGAATACAGTGATAAATAGAAAGAGCTGCCCTTTTATGGGGATTAGGGTGGGAGTAGCCATTCTCTATCTTTTAACTTGTTCCCTTACCCTGGGTCCTGAGCCCCCTCCTCTCCCATCCTCAGACTTTGCCCCTCTTACCGAATCTTCATGCCACAGAGCCCCAGGTGGGAGGCCAGTCGACGCCAGTCATTGCCCGTGATGCTGTTTGGCTCCAACAACATCTGCAGCTGCTCAAAGAGCTCAGGGGGCAACCTGAGGCCAGAGGAAAAGGTGTTCTCAGAGGGGAGGATCAAAGACACCCCATCTGGTTCCACACATACCCCCAAATGCTGTATTTGCCCCATAGGCACTGGGGCGGGAATCCCAAACACCCCCCAGACAGCAGCCCAAGCAACCCCCACCTCACCTATTGCATGCGGGTGGCTGGAAGACAGGAGGTGGCATTGCCCAAGATGCCTCCTCTGATGCCTGGAATCTGAGGATTTCCATGTACTTGGTCTCCAAGCCCTGGGCCAACAAAGGGGCCAGGAACACATTTGGGGATCATAAGACATCCCCTGAACAAGAAGCTGGGGAACCTACCTCCGTTCCTCATGTCTCTCCTTCACCCTGTCACCCAGAGCCACTTTACCAGGAGACTTGGCCCTACCCCACCCAGAACACCCCGCCCTCTGCTTTCCTGACCCCAGAACATTTAGCCTTAAGATTGCCTACTGAGCTTTTTGGGAGCTGGGACATGAAGACCAAGCAGAGTGCATCCTGAGACACCAGGAGAAGTCCCGGGTGGGGTCCTGGGGCAGAGGGGAGGTCATCCAAAAATAGAGACACTGAACCTCAGGCATACCTGTCCCCTTTCCTCCATTCTTCCTTTCCCTAGTTGCTCCTCCCCAAGTGACACCCCTGCAAGGTAGCTGCCTATTTTCCGCCAACATGTCACCATGGTTCCCCAAAGACTCGCAACCCTGATTTCTTCATATCTTCCCTTGGGAGAGTGGGATATCTGACTGGCACCCTACTACTGAAGACCCCCTTCCTGGTCGCTCTCCACATTGACAATACACAACATCATCTCTCAGCTGTAGATCATCAGCCTAGAAAGAAACCATTTCTTTTTGATGCCCAAGTACATCTGGGTTGAGAGAAGGGGTTAACATAAAGTTTGGTTCTTTTACCCTCCTACTGGATTCATCCATGGATAGACAAGGGAGAGTCAGGGATGAAGGGTCACTTGGAGACCAGGTGCCATCTTCACCTGCTTGATTATGTAACTAGGGCCATACTTACTGGGCACCAGACCCCTCGCCCACTTTGCCCAGGACTCCCCCAGGCCCTGCCCTCCCTCTGCCCCTAAGCTCCAACTCACGTCCTGGAAGGTGTGCATGGTGACAATGATCTCGTTGGTTAGTGCCGAGCAGTCCTCGTTCTCATTGGCTACAAAAAGGAGAGGACATGGCAGGTGAGAGAGGACAAGACCTGGCATAAGAGAGCAGGAGCGGTAAAAGGAACTCTACAGTGAGGCTTTAGAAACCCGAAGACGCTGGGCAGGTTGCTCCATCTTTCTCTCTGCAACGACCTGTTGTGGCTCCTCCCCTTTAAAAGGTCTGAGTGCGTGGAGGAAGGAGGAGCTGCAGAGCTCCAGGGTGACCAAGTAGGGAGAGGGGAGGAGAGGGCAGGGGAGGGAAGGGGAGGAGAGGGCACAAGGTGGACTCGGGCTCCTGGACTACCTGCTTTTCTCCGGAAACAGAAGGAGCGGAAGGGGCACTTTCCGTGCCAGATGTGGAGATGGGGAACCAGCTGGCAACTGCTGTCATCCACATTCTCCCAACCTGGAGAGGGGGCAGAGAGCAGAGGGCCTCAGAGAGCAGGGTCTTCTACCAGTGTTTAAGGAGCCTGCTCTGTGGCAGGCACTGTGCAGGGTGCTGTGGTGAGGGACGAAGAAGGGGCAAAGTCAGGAGGGTGTCTCAAGTGAATGGGAGTCCCCAGAGCCTGGGCAGGGGACCCCATAAGTGGTCTTCCTTCTACCATCACACACTCCCTACGCACACACAGCTCACAGAACCCCCACCATTGCACCCTCCCCTCCAACCCCCCACCCACTCGTATACTACCCCCAGGAGCAGCCATGCATGTCTGCCCTGTCCACACACACACAGATGCCCTAGCCCCAGGGGTAATTCCCACAGCCCATGCCACAAAGGAAAGAGAGCCCAAGCAGAGAAGTCTACGACTCCTCCTCCGATACCAGCTCCATCCAGGTGAATTAATAAATCCTCCCCCTCCTTCCTGGGAATACCGCACCTCTCCACCCCCACCACCCCACTCTGCATCATCCTGTCCTCCTACGGGAGGTCCAGGGCTGACTGAGCCACAGAGGGAGGAAGTGGGCAGAGCCTGGGGGCTCCTGGAGGTAGCAACAGAAGACAGAGGGTCCCCTTGAAGATGCTGGCTGCCCAAGAGTCTCTGTAAAAAACTTAAGGTTCCCAGATTTCCACCCCTAGGGGAGGCCCAGACCCCTCCCTCTAGTAGTGCTCCCTATTGCCCTGTCGCCCCGGCCCCCGCCTCCCTCACCCTCGGAGATGTACTTCAGCTTCAGGTACTGGTCCCCTCGGGCCCCAGTGAAGTCGAAGAGCTGGCAGGGCCCACGCAGACGCCCACCGTGAGGCTGCTCATTGGTCACTGCCCACTGCAGGGCACAGGGCGTGTTGTTGAGGAAGTAGACGCGCAGCTGCAAGTGGGACTGCCCTGGCGCCAGCGGTGAGCAGAACACTGCCAGCTGCAACCATTTGCGAGCTTCACAACCCGCCGGTGCCTCCAGCACACAGGTATAGAGGCTGTGGAGTAGATGGGAGATGATGGCCAGGACAGGACAGGGGGACGCCAGCACCCCAGCCACCCAGCTCCTGCTGTGCCAGAGAACTCTGTGGGGGCCTCCAAGGAGCTGAGGAGAAAGTCCAGGGTGTGTAGAGGAAGGAATTAGGGGGTGGGGAGGTGGTAGGAGGATGAAAAGCGAGTCACATGCAGTGACCATCACAGAGTGGGGAGAAGAGCCAGCAAATAGTCTCCGGAATGGGAGAGTGGGAAGATGGACTCCGGGCCACCAGGCTTTGGAGGGGTCCCACAGATGGCTGACCCTGCTCTGGTTAATGGGTGGCAAGGAGAATGAGAGGAAGTAGGACCTAAGATCCTAGAAAAACAGAGCTAAGGACAGATGAGAGATAAGACCGTGTCTTAGAGAACTGGAGGGAACAAACTTCCCTAGACAGTTGGGGGACACTCGTGAGCAGGTGCACAGGCCATAAACAGACAATTGTAGAGAGACAAAGGTGGAGCTGGGACAAGCCTCCTCTAGACAGGTGACTGGGGTTGAGTCAGAGCCTTGTAGACAGGCAGAGAGGCCAAGCGGGGAGTAGGAGGGTGTGTAGTTTTGGACAGGGTTGGAGTGACACAAGCTGCTGTAGACACTAGGACAGAGGAACCGAGAAGGGATACAGGGGAATAAGGGATTTGCAGACCATCTGGGACAGATAAAGGGACAAATGCGGGTGATGAAGAGATGAGGATGAGGCAGACAGAGAAAATGGGCAGGAGGACACACTGATGGGCTTGTGCCTACCTGAAGTGGGAGAGGTGGATGCGACACTCGTCCAGGGAAGTGTGGACCCCTGACTGCCCCAGGGGCTTCCAGGCCTTGCCATCGAGCAGGTTGGTGTCGCTGCTGTAGGTGCGGGCATGGCTGGGCTGCTGGGCACAGTGCTTGAACGTGAGGGTGCAGGGCTTCAGGAAGGAGGCCCCATGGGGGCCACACGCCACCACGGGGCTCACCAGCCCCTGGGCTCGGGACAATGACGGGGCATCTGACAGGTCCCACACCAAGATCAGTGACACCCGCTCCTGGCGGCCCACAGCCACAGCACCTGGGGAGACGGAAAGCTGAGATGGGCCTGGCAGGGGACGCCTGACCAGAGCGGGAGGGGAGGTGCGGCGGGAACCAGGAGAGAGGGTGCACACACAGCAAAGCAGTACAGGAGAGCAAGACGACTGTGAGCTGACTGGTGGTGTCGTCCTGGGCAAGTCACCTGCCTTCCTTCCAGGGCTGCTGCTAGCCCAGGCAGGGCCTCTGTGAAATTATAAAAGGTGCTCTGTCTCCAAACATTTTCCTTTATTGGAGGGTTGCCATAATATACTGTTCATTAGAACAAGGCACTTTACTTCCACGTGCCAGGAAGTTGTCATAAAAATATGTAATACATCCATCTTTGGAGTCAATAAATTCATACTAAATATATAAACAATTTTCAAAATTATGAAGATGTCTATGAATGATGCTCACTTCAGTGTGGATCCCTGGTCCCATGCGCTATCTGAACAACTACATGCTGAGAAGGAAGCTAGGCCCTGTTACCTGGTGGGATGAGCAGAGAGATGCCTGTATCCTGGAGTATCAGGCAGCCGCCACGGTGATCCACCTCCCGAGCCGAAAACACCAACAGTTTGTGCATCAGCTGACGGGTGATGGTCTGGCCCTGGGTGGGCGTGTGCAGTTCCTGGTAGAAGGCAGCCATTTCCGGCAGGGTGGCCGCAGGGCACTGCCTTGGGGACTCATTTTCTGGTAGGGGAGTGGGTTCAGATGCTGGCTCCTCTTGGCTCTCCAGCTTCCAGCAGGCCCGCAGCAGCCAGCGACGATGGTGCCATCGCAGGCACTGGACCAGAAGGAGGGCACTCGCCACCGGAACCCCCACCAGCAGTAGGAACTGGGTGGGTTGGAAAGAGCTCTCATGGAAGCACATCCACCTGGTTACTTGATGCTGCCAGCTCACCTGCACCCCTGTACCAGCCAATGCCAGGGGCAGGGGAGGGGGGAAAAGGTTCAGTGCCAGGCTAAGCCTTTTCAATGTCATGGAGGCCAAGACTTGGCTTCCAAGTGGCTGCAATGAGGGAGCAAATTGTCTTTCTTCCACTGCATCCCACACGCCCCAGTCAGATCAATGCCTTAAACAGAACTTCACCTATTTCTCTCTTACTCGAGAACCTACCATACCGCCTCATGATTTAAACATCAAATTAAACTCCCCGGAGGCAGAAAGAGCTTGGGTTTGGAATTAGAGGATCTGAGTTTAAATGCCACCTTGGTCCTATCGCTTAAGGTGCCTCAGTTTCCTCATATGTCTACCTTGACCTACATGTGCTGCTATAGAAAAATTTTTAAGTGGAAAAACAAGTCACAGGGACCTAGACATCCTTGGATCTCATTAACGTAATAACAAAACTATATACAAGTATAGATACATATTTATGGGTATATATATATGTAAATTATATTGAAAGGGCTGGAGCAGTACTGTGCAATAAAAATATAATGTGAGCCACATAGGTAATTTTGAACTTTCTAGGGGCCACATTAAAAAAACGTAAAAAGAAACAGAAGTGTATTTTAATATTTTATTTCACCCAATATATTCAAAATAGTATCTTTCCGACAGGTAAGCAATATAAAATTATTAATGAGATCTTTTACATTCCTTTTTCACACTAAGTCTTTGAACTCCGTGCGTATTTTACACTTACAGCACATCGCAGTTGGGACTTGCTCTATTTCAAGTGCTCAGTCGCCACCCGTGCTAATGATTCCGGTCTTGGACATACAGGTCAGGGAAAACACACCCCAAACTATTCCCACTGGTCATTACAGAAAGAGATGAGAAAGTGAGAGGATGCAAGGTGTGAACCAGGACTTCCAATTTTCTTATACTCTCTTTTTTATGTACCCTTTGAATTTTTCACACCAAACATGCGTTTTATATTAACTTTGGCAATTCTTTTTAAAAGCTATTACAAGTGGGAAAAAGATGACCTCTCAGAGAGATTGCGAGGATGGCTGGCGTGAGATCATGTGAAAAGCATTTCTGATGATAAAGCACTGTCCAAATATGCTTGTTTATTTATGCCTCTCCTTCGCCAGAAAGGTCGGAAGGGAGCTCACAGGGATACGTGAAATAAAACAAAAGTAACCAAAGTTAAAAGAGAAAGGAACACAAAGGTGGGGGCGTCCGGTGAGGCTGGAATGAGGCAGGGCAAAAGCCTGCACTGACCACCTGCTCACCTGGCTACCCACCAGGGACCTCAGACTGGAACCTGGGCCTCCCAGCAGCCTCCTGCACAGGTGTCAGCTCTTCCTGAGGCCCTCCAGAACCTACTGCCTCTCCCTCTTACTTTCTCTCTCCCTTAATTTCCAATACCCTACACTCCCACCAGATTGGGCTCCCCAAACCTTCTTAACTTGCCTCTGACTTTTGCTCATGCTGTTCTCTTTCACCCCTCACCTGTACTCCCCACCTACCTCATCTCCCCACCTGAACCCCTCCTGCTCAGTAGGCCTTCCCACCCCCACCCCACCCCCGCTCACCAGCCCTGACAGTCTCTTCTCTGAAACCTCTCTCTGCTGCCATCCTACCGTACTGAGTAGCTCTTTCTTTCTTTCTTTTTTTTTTTGGATCAATTTTATGTGGGCTTCTCACAGTGGTTAGAGCCACTCTGTCTTCAGAACAATCACAGCACAGGAAATGTGTCACCGATACTGCCCAGAAAAGTCTGACCCGCTGAAAATAATTGCTTAAAATACATATATTCACAATAATTAACAAACGGTGATGTGCCTCACATAGGAATGTGTTAGCATTTGCAAATGTCCCGACTGTAGCGCCAAACCCTCAACCAACCCCTTCCTTCTCATTCACCTGGAAAACCAGGCTCAATCAAGTCCCCCTGGCCCTCTAACCAGTCCTTCAACCACCTATTTCCACCTGAGTAGCTCTTGATCATACGCTGTCACGTGTGGTTTTCCCACCCAAATGAACATTTTCTGAGCACCGTGTACCAGGCACTGTGGGAAGTTCAGACCTGCCAAAAATGGCATCTTATTCAGCTCTCAAGGAGCTTCTGAGGAAATGGGACTCATTTGATCCACGGTTGATTCGCTAGGGTTTGCACTTGAAAGCCATCTGGCATCCATCCATTCCTCCCCACTCCCTTCACTCAAACCACCCATAGCGAGCTGAGGCCTTGCCCCAGCCTCCTGCGCCTTCCCGCCCACCTGCTTCCTTCTTTCCTTGGGACCCGTAAAGCCTAAGCCCTTTTCCTAGCTCCTTCCTGACAGGGGCAAAAATTCCTCTGTAACTTCAGGATTGAGGACTGGGGCGGGATCTGTGTCCCAGCCTCCTCACTGAAAATGCAGACAGGAAGGGAAGGTCAGGCGTTGCTCCTTTTGCCTTAGAACCCAACCTTGCAGGCAGAGCAGCAGGCCCCTTACAGAGCACACGAGTGAAGCAGGTGAGTTAGCCCCAATGCCCCAAATCGGGTGGGAATGGGGTTGGAGCAGCAAGCTTCCCCTGGCGTCCCATCCATGCCTTTGGGTTCTTCCACATGAAAGATAACTGGAATTGGAGCTGTAACAATAAGAGCTAATATTTATGGGGCTTTACTCTGCACCCCGGGGTTAAAGCACTCTACGTGCCCTCAGATGTACTCATTTGACCCTCAGAGTAGCCTTTGAACTAGGTGTTATTTTTATTTCCATTTCACAGATAAGGAAGCCAAGTTTTCACTCCACAGTGAGGGTGGATGGGAGATTATGAAGCTACAGCTGAGGCAGAAGGATGTGCGGGGATAACAAGGACTTCTAGAAATACTCCCTTTCTCTCCCTGCCCCTTCTTTTTCTCCAGGTCTCTTCCTTTCAACTCCTAGAGCAGCGGTTCTCAACCTTCCTAATGCAGTTAATACAGTTATATTACCCTTAATTACAGTTCTATTACAGTTAATACCCCTTAATACAGTTCCTCATGTGGTGGTGACCCCCAACCATAAAATCATTTTTGCTGCTACTCTATAACTGTCATTTTGCTACTGTTATGAATTGTAATGTAAATATCTTTTTGTTTTCCGATGGTCTTAGGCAACCCCTGTGAAAGGGTCATTCGACCCCCAAAGGGGTCGCGACCCACAGGTTGAGAACCGCTGTTCTAGAGGACATGAAGTTGGAATAGAAAGAAACAAAAAAAAGTAAAAATAAATATAAGAAACTAAAGGCACATCCTTGGTTCTACAGTGAGTGACACACACCCCCAGCCCCTGCCCACCAAGACACCAGTGGCAGGGGATGGGCCAGCTAATGCAAAAGAAAGGAGGGGCTCTGCTCTGTCTCTATAGCAACCACCTTCCTGGGACCTCCAAAGACCAGAGTCCAAACCCCCTATACCTCATCAGGTGGCACAGCAGTCTCCTTGCCCAGCCCCCCAACCTGGAGCAGTTGGTATGTAGGGCTCCCCAAAGCCCTGCAGGGCCTCTGACATGGAGCCTATTCACTGCCTGGCCTGGAGCAGGCTAACTCATCTCCCAGCTCAGCCCCTCTTCTCCCCGGCTGACAGCTCTCTCCAGGCTGCCTTGGTCCTCACTCCATCCTCCCCCTTGCCCCAGGAGGGGGAAAAGTGCCAAATGGACAGCATGGCAACCAGCTCAATGTAGACTGGAGCTTCCCAGCCCCATGCCTGCCTCCAGCGTGTCTTGCCCCAGATCCAAGATCATCCTGGGTAGCGGTTTCCCAAGCTGAGGGTCCTTTAGAATGCTGCCATTACCTGTCCCTAGGGAGTCACCTCTACCATAAAAATCCATGTTCCTGCTGCAAAGCTCTGCTCATCTCCTTTGAGGAAACTCTCAAACCAGCTCCCACGTCACTGGTTCTTACCATGCCTACTCAGCCCTGATAGATCGCTAGCTATTGAAGGACATAAAAAGTATCAGATGAGTGAGTCCAAACCTCAGTCACAGGAAGCATGCATCAGAATAGCATACATGTCCACAGTGCACAGAATCATTCCCCTGGTCCTCACATCCACTGGGCAGTGGCCCTCTCCCAAGCCCCTTCTTCCTGTCCTCCTCCAGCAGGGGGTCTCCACTCCCTGGCAGCTGAGCTGGCCTGGCTCCTTCTCTGAGCCCCATTGCAATGCCCAACCCAATCCCAGCTACCCCAGGGGCATGCTCACCTTAATGTGCAGGTGCTCCCAGAGGCTGCCGGCTTATCCCGGAACAGTAACTCCTTCTCTGACAAACAGAGAGGTCAGCCAGACCCTGTCACCAGGCCAGCAGACAGGTGCAGGTGGGCGGGGAATGAACAGGAGTGGCCTGGTGCCTCCCAGCAGAGAAGTAAGGGAGCCTGTCCCCGTCTGTTGGCAAAGTCCAGCCAAGGTGGGGGAGGAACCAAGGATCCCAGAAGTCAGTGGACTTGCTAGTGTAGGTCTGGAAGGGAGGAGACAACCTCTGTACAGGTGTAGGTAGCCCCTGGGTACAGGTGAAAGCCCTCCTTACAGTGCCCTCTGCTGGTGAGCAGCTGGTCCCAGCCAGAGGCTATTGAAATGGCAGAAGGTAAAAGAGGTGGGAGCCCTCTCCAGAGCCTCTTAAGCTAGGTAAGCATATGTACCACCTAGCGATCTTAAAATGTGGGTTCTGGTCCCATAGGTCTGAGGTGGGGTCTGAGACGCCGCATCTCTAAGAGGCTCCCAGGTGCTGCCCATGGAGCCAGTCCAGGGAGCGTAGTCTCTAGCTCCACCCCATTCCTGCAGAGATGACAGAGGAGACACCCAGAGGGATAACGAATCACCACTTGCTTGTGGCATTGGGGTGTACCCCTATCTGCTCCCTACCCAGTGCTCTTTCCACAGCCCACACTCACAGCTGGCAGGAACACTGCCACTTTGGGGAGAGCTGGACTTAGGGCCGTTTGCCAACCTAAGTCCCTCCTTAGACACCCTGCCTAGGAAAGATGGTGCCACTGGGATGAAAGCACCCTGTGAAAAGGTTTTTTTGTTTGTTTTTTTAGGTGTTTGTAGCCTCAGCTCCTGGTACAGCCTGACCCGTAACAGGTGTTCAGTAAAGATTTGCTGAATGAATGAGTGGACCAACTGAGAGAGAAGAGGGTGCACTGGGTCCGGGCTGCCAACACTGGACCCAAGTGACGCACCTGTCAGCAGCTATGTAATCTTCGGCAAGTTACTCAGCCTTCCTGAGTCTCAATTCCCTTTCTTGTTAAGTGCAGATAATCATATCTACCTAGTAAGGGATAATCATTGTCCTTATCGAGCTAATATAGTGCTCACCACAAAATGGATGCTTAATAAATGGTAGCTGTTATCTCCGTGATCTGGCCTCCTGCAGTTGAGGAACCATGGTGAATTCCCCCAGCCCTCAGTTATTATCACTCACAAAAAATAAGTAACCACCACTGCTTTCATCTCAGTTTAATGGTTCTCTTGTCCTTGACTGCAACCCCTCCCCCTCTGCTGCCATCCCAAGGGTGGAGGAGATAGGTTGGGATAAACACCTCTCAGGGGCCCCAACATGGAGAGATGGGCAAAGAAATGGCAGAAAGCAGCCAACCTAGGAAGGGGAGCTCATGCCTAAAGGACAAGCAAGGAAGAGGGGTTCAGAACGTTGATGGGGACCAAGAGCAGAGATGTTAGTCTTTGCTGGACAAAGCTCTGTCTGAGTCACACAGAAGGCTGCCTTCTCCTCTGAGTCAGAACGTTCTAATGGGTTGTGAAAGATCTGTTAGACTTGCCTTCCAAGCCAGGAAGGACCACGGCAACTAACAGACTATACCCAGGGACTGTGTCCATGTTTTATGAGCAACATTTCCAAAGTTGGTGCTTGCCTCACTTGGAGACAATTCTGGTTACAGGAAGGTTCTGGGGAAATCTGAGGGTTCTCACCACCCCTGTGGACACAAAGGTTCACGGGATGCAGAGATCACAGGCATGAGTAGTCTTGCAGCCTGGGCTGAACTGTCTCAAGAGGCCTGGGTCTCACGATGCCAAAGCCTCAACCACCCATCAAGGGGTCCCTCCAGGGGCCAGGGCTAGTAGACTAGGGGCCCCCTGCTGAGAGATCCCTTCAGGGCCATGCAGGCAGCAACCTGGGCTCCCCAGCCAATGTCACCACCCTAGTCATTGGAAAAAGGCAGGCCAGCTGGGAGCCCTGCTCCACCCTTCTCCCCGTCCCCCACCCTTCTCTGCCTTCCACAAACCATATATCATTGGGCACCCAGTCTGGGAGGTGTGCCGCCTGAGGTAAGGGGAACATAGGCCTAGGAAGAAGGAGGCATTGGGAGTGGTTTAAAACAGGAGAAAAGAGGATGGGGTGGGGGAGGGCAGCAGGGGGTTCTCCAATGCTGGATAGAAAAATAGAAAACAAGAAATAGAGAGACAGGAAAGCAGAAGACGAACAGTGAGAAACAGAGAAAGATAAAAGAACGCACAGTTAGGCAGGCTGGTCAGCCTGTCCAGGGAACTTCCTGGACATACATACAGGTAGTCAGGGGCCTTTAACAGGAAAGGATGAAGCAAGCAATCACTCGGGGACACTGAGAATAACCATCTTTTTTTCCTTTTCTACCAATCCTATCAATCATGGGGAGGAAGCTGAAATATGATGTATATATGAGAAAAATGGAATTGGGTGGGGGTCTTGGTTGGAGGAGGGTCTGTGCATCGCCCCACATGGGAATGACATGCAAAGCAACATGCAAATGAGTATGGCAGCTTCTTAATAAAAAAAAAAATCAGGTAGTTGTTTCCTTGAAAAGTCAGGCCACAAGGAATGTGGGTTATATGTGTTTGACACAAATGCCACCTTCTTCTCTCAGCTGAAGTGGAGAGATGTAGGGGGAGCCTCCCCCAGCCCCTGAGGGGAAGATGAGACCTCAGTCTTCATAGAAAGGAACCCACAGCGTCACTCGGCTGAGTTTGAATTCAGGCAGGCGCTCAGGCTGGGTGGGCCCCTGGGCTTTGCCAGTCTGGTATAGTAAGATAAGCCTGTGGCGGGTGGACTGGCCCACTGTGGACTAGAAAAGACCCCAGGGATCTCTGACTCCTGCCTTCTGAACATGGTCCTTCCAGGTTAGTTATGTCAGTTTGGGTGAGTTCAGTCTAAGGCACCATCCCTGTTGAGGGCCTGTTTGTACCTGGCCAAGTGCCGCCTGTGGAAAGCAGACAGGATGGTCATACGTGAACCTGAGCCCCAGGATTCAGATACAGCTTGGGGGAAAGGAGCCTGTCGCTCAGAAGCAGTTCCCGATACCAGATACTATCCTTCAAGGGCCTAATGTGAGGTGTGGAAAAAGTAAGTCCTTGGAAGCCAGAAAGGAGGCAAGGCAGTACGGGCTCCCAGGAGCGGACAAGAGATGGCCCAAGCCCAGCAGATGGCCTCCATGCCTGCACCTCCTATGGGGGGTAGAGGGATCGTGACGGGGAATAGTGCCAGATAAGGGGAAGAGAGACAGATGAGCAGACACAGAGAAAGGGTTAAGGGGGAGCCTCACCATCAACATGTTCGCTGCCCCCCAGGTTTTGCCTCCTTGAGGAGAATGTGGCCTCAAGGGGCCATCTTTGTGGCCTTGCCCCACCTGGGGCCCATCCTGGTCTGGCTGCTCGTCCCTCGTCGGATGTCTGGTTGGTGTGACAGCCTGAGGAAGCTGCCCTGGTGCCCACCCCACAAAGTTTTGTTGCTTGTGTGGACAGCCATCTACTCTGTCATGGGGTGAGCACCCATTTTTCACGCCATGGCCCTGATACCCTACCTGAACTACTGCTGCACACTGACCTCCAAAGGTCTGGAGGTCTCGCCCCTTGTGGTGGGTCCCTTCTGGGCCTGCCTAGGATTCCAGCCAGCCCTCTTCTTCCACCCTCTCCAATTCTCCCCCACCCCTTCCCCCACCTCACCATGCTCAACTGCCCCCACCATCTCTCCCTGCACTCCGCTGTCAAATGATGCCTGGACTCACTTGCCCCCATTTCAGCCCACAGGGTTCCCTCTTTGTAACCAGGAGTCCTGATGTCGGAGGGCTTCCTCCATTTGCCATGGAACACCCCCCCTCTAAGCATTTCTGCCACCATCTCTCCACAGCTATGCCTCCTACCTGGTGTGGAAGGACCTGGGCGGGGGCTTCGGGAGGCCCCTGGCCCTGCCTCTTGGCCTCTATGCTGTGCAGCTCGCCATCAGCTGGACTGCCCTGATTCTCTTCTTTGCAGCCCATGCCCCTGGTCTGGTAAGGTGCCCCGTACTCAGCAGTGGCAGTAGTGTAGGAGCAGATGAGAACACCAGGCCCCCGGAAGCTGACCACACAGCAGATCAGTCAGGGTCAGGCGGGCAGGCTTTTCTGAGCTCTGGTGGAGTGCATACAGCCCCAGGTACTTGGCTTCCGGGGCCCTGGGTGCTGCAGGAAGGTGGGGGGCCTGGTCCTCAGGGCAGCCTGCCTGACCACCCTGCCCCCGGCCCAGGCCCTCCTGCCCCTGCTGCTGCTCTACGGGCTGGTGGTGAGCACGGCGCTGACCTGGCACCCCATCAACAAACTGGCTGCCCTGCTTCTGCTGCCCTACCTGGCCTGGCTCACTGTGACCGCTTCCATCGCCTACCGCCTATGGAGGGACAGCCTTTGTCCAGAGCAGCAGCCTCAGCCCATGGGAGACAAGAGCGACTGAGGCACCAGGACACGGGAGAGGAGGGCGAAGAAGGCCAGGGCCGAGGGGGGAGAGACGGCAGGGAGGCTGTGGGGCTCGGATGGGGAGGAGCGGGGAGGTAGCCAGGGACTGATGAGTCCCTAAGTGTGACTCACCCCAAATGCGGCCACTGTCCTGGGCGCCCTAGTGCCGGTTTTCATTAGAATTCAGAGAAATAGGAAAAAGAAAGGAAACTTATTTTACACTTAACATGAATGAATAAATCCTAGGTTAATAAATATTAATTTAGTACTATCAATGAATAAAATCCTGTTACTAACTTTGAAGTGTGCGTTTGAGTGTAGGAGGTTGAGTGCCGCAGACTGGGAATAGAAGTGCCTGTACACGTGTGTAAGTGTGCACACGCGAATGAATGTGCGGACGCATGTACTAGGAAGGGAGACACACCATCTCTACCCCACTCACATGCCCTCCCAGATCTGGCCAAAAAAGGTAGAACATGGGTTTTTAATTACCTGAAAAACAAAATCGTTTTGAAAAGTCACATAAAAGCAAAACAGAAAAGTAGGTAAAGTATAAAAAGGATAATAATTTTACACATCAAGTTTATATACTATATTTTATTATATATTACTTATTATATATATTAATTTTACTTAATTAACTTATTTTAATGCTATATCATATTAATTATATTAATAACCATGTTTAATATATAATATGGTTATATGAAATATTATGTTATGTATTATATATGCTTCACTAAGGCCTTATGTGATTAATATAAGTAATATTATAGATAATTTTTATTTTCGTTTTCATATACTCTTATACTATCAGCTTTTTGCATCAACTAGTAGCTATTATAATAAGAAAAAAAGATATAAGCCTCATGTTGACAAGTGAATACAATTAGAGCTTCTTGTTCAGCCTTCTCTCTTGCTTCTCTCTTTCTGAATTTCTTTTTCTTTTTTTAAGATTTTTATTGGGGAATTGGGGGGAACAGACAAGTTGCTGTCGTTTTGTTCTTTAGTCTAGTAGTGGAGGACAGGACGTTGCTTCACTGGCCCAAGATGGCACCATCATTGCACTCTTCCCGGGCGAGGCAGAGCAGTCGCCGGCTTCTGGATGGCCGGTCACACTGGCTGCCGGCTACACACAGTAGCCCATGGCAGCCCACTGCCACAGGGGCTGCAGCCTACGCCATCGCCGGCTACTCATGGCAGCCCAACTCCAAGTTGAGCTGTTGTTCAGCATCTTAGCTGTAGAGGGCAGTGTCACTGGCCCTCATATGTGGGATCCGAACCGGGATCCTCTGGCGTCCCAAGCCAGTTCTTAAACATCGCGCCACTCGGCTGGCCCTCTTTCTGAATTTCTCATTGTCATTTTTAGTTTCATCTCTTCCACCTCTTGTTTTCTTCTTCTCTTGTTTTAAAGCCCTGAAGGTAGCAAGGAGTGACTGCCCCTGGGGCGGCCTCCCCAAATCTTAAACAAGGCCAGCGGGAAGACCCAGACTCCTTACTGCCTTGTAGTATGAGTTGTTGTTTTTTATTGTTAGTTTCAGGTGTACAGAACAATGCTTCTGTACAGACAGAAGCAACCCCCATCCCCCATCTACTGCCCTCCCACCCCCGATATCATACTTATCTATTACAATTCCATTGAGTCCATTCCCACACTCTACTCCACGTCCCATGACTATATGTATATATAATTATAGTTGACATACAATGTTAATATGAGCTTTTAAAACTATTGACCAGGCTCTCCAGGGATGGGCCGGGGCATCAGTGTTTTTCAAGCTCCCCAGGGTCTCCTCCTGTGCAGCCCACTGAGAACCACTGCTGAGTATGCACCAGAGCCATTGGGTAGCTTATTAAAAATGCATATTCCTCAGACCCCACCGAAGACCTATGAATCAAAACTTTGGGGGTGGGCTCCAGGCATCTTCGGATTTAACAAGCTCCCAGCACTTTGGTCAGCTTGTCGCTAAAATCTGAGTGCTCTAGGCATAAAGGGTCTCTTGGGGCCCTTTTCACTTTGACAAGTGTGGTTCTGTGAGCCGAGTTCTGGGGCTGGAATCAACTATGTCCTCTCAGGAAAGGGCCAAGGACCACACAGGGGGAGAAGCCAGGGGACTTCATCATTTGAGAAGGAGCCTGGCTCTTTCTGGAGCTCACCCAGGGAGAACATGTGAGAAGGAGTCTGCACCCTCCCCACCTCCACATTAACGACATGCTCTGTCCAGCACAGGTCCGTCACCGGCATTCATGGAGGACATACACAGTGTCCCACCCACCTTTGTATCTCCAGCCCCAGTGCAGCACGGGGCACAGAGAAGGTGTTCATACATCTTTCTTGATAGGTGATAGATAGATGGATGAATAGATAGATAGATAGATAGATAGATAGATAGATAGATAGATAGATAGATAGATAGATGATAGATAGGTAGTAGAATAAATGAAACATTGTCTCATTAAAAGAAAATGCTGACACACACCACACCAACACCAGACTCCACCCTGAACCAGTTGAAAAAGCCTCTCTTTGGAGAAGGGAAGGACATTCATAATTGAAACTTCTCAGGTGGCTCTAACATGCAGCCACATTGAGAGCAGCTGCTATAAAGCGTTGCTGCTCAAAGTGTGGCCCAGTGACCTCCTGGGGCACTGGACTCCAGAGTCCACAGACTCAGATCATCTGGGGGAGTGAAGGCCATAGCATGCAGTGGTTTGCAGTTCTGGCCCTGGAGACAAACAAACCTGGGCTTGGATACTGACTGTCATTTATTAACTGATAACCCAGTGCAACTTACTTCACGGTCTGTGCTTCATTTTCCTCATCTTTAAAATGGAGACCTCATAGAATCGTTGGGAGAGAATAAGTCAGAGAATGAGTAAAAATGTGTCTGACACAGAGGAAGTGCTTAATAAATATTAGCTGGTCTGGGGAGGAACCCAGGAGGCCACCTATTTAAAAAGCTCACGTGGTTCTGATTCATGCTACAGTTGGAGACCCACCCTGCTTTAAGACCCCAGCAGGACTTTCCACACTTCCTAAGAGCCAGGAGAGTGAGTACCTTCCTCTCGGGTCTATGGGCTAGCCTGACCAGTGCCAAACACACAAAATGATTTGCTCTTTATCTTACCCATTCACAAGGATTCTCTCTTCACCTCAATTAAATTTCTAAATGCTGTTTTCATTGAATTTATAACTCCATTTATACATGTAGCTATTTCTTTTTTTTTTTTTTTTTTAGAAATTTTATTGGCGAACAGTGTGTTTTTCCAGGACCCATCAGCTCCAAGTCAAGTATTTGTTTCAACCTAGTCGTGGAGGGCATTTTTCCATGATCCATCAGTTCCAAATCGAGAAGTTATCTTCAGTCTAATTGTGGAGGGCACAGCTCCTTGACCCATATGGGAATCGAACCAGCAACCTGGGTGTTATGAGCCTGCACTCTAACCACCACAGCTAACCAATTGTCCCTACGTGTAGCTATTTTAAATTTACAAATGGAACCTGTAAATATGGATTGAGGATGGGCTTGGGAGCCACACTACATGGGTTCTTATGCTGGCTCCATTGTTGTTGTGTGAACTTAGACCTAAACACCCAATAAGTATTTGTCATTATTATGATCATCACCTCATTTAGGTGATATTTGCTACTGATTGTATTCATGTCACCAACTAATTCTAGAAGTTAAACTGACCCTCCGAGAAGATGCACCATGCCTATTGTGTGACTTTGACCTCTCCAGGGTCAGCTCATATCACAAACCCAGGGGTCCAGATGCCTCTAGTTTTGGATATTTGGCCCTAGAAGGGAGTTTGATTTGGGCAGTGTCCCCAACCCTGGAATAGCATGACCGCCTGATATGGCATGAGTCAGACTAAAGGACTTCATGGCTTTGTGTAGGAACAGCTGGAAGGGTCAGGATCCCAACCCCAAATTCTCATCCTCTGACCCCAAATGGTCCTCAAAATCTCCACCTGCGCCAGCTCCTTGGTTCCTGGGTGGGAGCCTCTAATCCCCAGTCTCCCAGCCTGCCTGGGCCTCTTCCTCCACCCAGCCTCTCAGTTCCTAACCTGGCCTGGAGTGCACACACTGCCCTCAGCCACTTCTCTCTTGCTACCTAGAATTGTGCCTAAGCACAGTCAGAGCTGCCTCCTGGCTTTGCCAGATGCGTGCCAAGATTCCACCATCCAAATCATATGTGTGCTTCTCTGTCCTTGGGCAGTGTTTTTCCATTTGCCTCTGAGTGGGCACATGGTGTCTGAAGATGATTCACTCGGTGGGTTGGGGGAGAGACAGCTCTTCTCCGGCTGTACAGCTCACCCACCCAATGTCTGGAGAGGTGGGGAGTGGCACCAGGTAAAATAGCAAGCCCCAGGGGCGGTATGTCTCATTCTACTGTATCCTAGTTCCTCCTTTCCTCCCCCCCCTCCCCCCCCCCAAACCTTCATTCTTCCTCCCTTTGCTAATGTCTGCAGAACGGAGACGCCCAGGGGCAAAACGGGTAGGGGTATATTCAGTGGAGAAAGGTTGGTGGGCTGGGCTGTGAGAGTGGGGCAGAGTGCAGGAAGTGCTTTCTCTGTGCATCGCTGGCCCCTCCTGCCTGCGGACAGGTAGAGATGATGTGGTAGTGGAAGGTAAGGCCCCCTGAGTGTTGTCAGGCCCGGGCCAGGGCTCCAAAGCCTGTCTTCCTTTGTGGTGGCTACCACCCATTCCATCTGCTAGATTCCCCTGCACCTCAAGCCCCGTTTTAGAGTTCCCCTTCCTTGTAGTTCCTGAAAACAAGCACAGGACACTATTGTTTTAAGGATCGGTTGCTGATCCTCATGAGTGGCTCACAAGTTACCCATCCAAACAAAGCCTGGCTTGGGTCAGGACCCTCTCGGGTCGGAACCCCCTGTTTCTTCCTCAGGTAGAGTCCAGAGAGGTCTCTTCCCTCGCTCTGGCTTTCAAGGACTGTTCACACACATAGGCCCCTCTTCTAGCATGCAAGCCTCAAGGAGCCCTCTCTGTCACACCAGGAGCCTCAGTGGTGTCCATTCAGCCTCATTTGTCCCTCT